CGGCATCAGGGTTGCAAGGTACAATGCCTTGGTAACCTCGCTCTAAGAACAAGGTCTGCTCTTCACTGTTTGCTGTTGCGGCTATGAAGAACACTAAAAAAAATAGAGTAAAATATCAAAATTAAAGATGAGAAGCAACGGGTCAATCAATGAACTGAAGCAACAGTGCTCTCCTGGCTCGCTGATCTGTATGTGCAACTCAGTCCATTTTGAGAAACACGTGAACTTTTTTATTTTACCCGTCTTTTGTGACACATATATTGACATATTTTCAATGTGATCAGCTTGTGATCTGTCCAAAATATTAAGCTGTGTGAAATTTATCCAGTTTATCAAACACTTGATCAAATTCAAGGTACATGTAATGAACAGCATCAAGATACAAACACATTATAAAACGCACAATCCTTGGCAACAAGTATCGCCAACAAACCTCATCCATCCAAAACATATCTCTCCTACCGGACAAATCCATAAAAAAGAATAGAAAGTCATCGCTGTGAGCTTCCAAAACCATCGCTCAGTCTGCTTATGGGAATTTTACATGAGGCTATCCCATCAAGCTCTATGGCTTTTGGAAGAATAATTTCTTACTAAACATCCGCGGTACCGTGTGGCATTGGGTCAGAGTCTTCTCAAACGAACCGCAGACAGCGAGTGATATTCCACGGTAGTGCGTCGTTTTGGGGAGATGTTCTTTCTGGTGTCCCACAAGGGAGTGTTTTAGGTCCTACTTTGTTCAGTCTATTTGTTAATGACATTTCCGACGGTATTTCTTCTAAATGTGTTATGTATGCTGACGATGCCTTGCTTTTTTGTGTTATCCAGTCACAAGCGTCATCTCCAGACTGATCTCAGTAACCTTCTCCATTGGTCATTGTGTAATCGTATGGTTTTTAATCCTTCCAAAACAAAGGGTATGCACATTAATGGAAGCAGAAATATTCATCCTTCTACTTACAATCTTGGCAATTCCCCTTTAACTGCTTCCTTATCCTTCCAGTACCTAGGTATCACCATCAGCTCCGACCTTAGCTGGAACTCCCAAGTTAATATCATTGTTTCTCGTACCAATCGCCTCTTAGTATTCTTTCGATTAGTTGCTGGAGGTTCATCTACCCAAGCATTTTTTTCACTGTACAAATCGCTTGTCCTACCTTTCCTCGAATATGGCATCCCTTGCTGGGGCCCGCACATGCTATCCTAAGAAGAAAGCAGATCGAGCGCGTGCAACGTTCAGCAACCCGAATTGCCTTAATTAAAACAACGGCGTGGTCAGATGACATGAGGACAGGCTTGACCGACTTAACTGGTTCTCCTTATCATCCAGAAGACAATACTTGCTATGTTTGTTTGTGTTTAAATGTTTACACGGTTTATGCTAATATGAGACCATCAGCAATAATGTCCTTGTCAATCCACGCCATCCAGATTTGCTCACATTCTGCCATCTTCTTTCCCGCACACAAACTTTGTTTCATTCCCGCACCCGCAGTTTCCCTAGAATATGGAATTCTTTACTGCCACTCATCAGAGACTCAGCTGTTTCCGACTTCCTCGATTCCTTAAGGCTCTCAAGCAGGCTTTCTTTTCGAACAAGTCATTCAACATATTTTTTTTTCTTTCTTGCTGTCATTTTATCGCCTGTGTGGGACCGTTGTTTTCTTTGTTCTGTTTAATTTACCTTGTTAACGTTATATGCGGGACTGCATACACGCGGGTAATAGTAGTTTGTACTTTTGCAGTCCCTGCCATCCGACTTGTTCAGATACCGAGATAATTTTTCTTTTTAAGTAGACTTCTAAAGTGTATTTAGTCGGTTTAACGAGATAAATGATGTAGTCAAGTCGACTTCTAAATTATAGTAAGTCGACTTGGGAGATATTTCATGACATCAAGTCTACTTTTGGAATTCCCTTTGTCGACTTGGCGAGATTATTTATGTAGTTAAGTCGACTCCGTTATTTGGTGAGACGACTTGGCGAGATAATTAATGTAGCCTAATAAAGACTGCTTTTGGAATTCGCGATAACAACTCGGCGAGATAATTTGTTGTCAAGTCGACTATACAATTGTGGGAAGACGACTTGGCAAGAAATTTATGTAGTCCATCCAACTTCCTAATTCTGGTAGGTCGACTTGAAAAGATAATCTATGTCGGTGAGACGACTTCCTAAATCTAGTAAGTCGACTTGGCGAGATAATTTATGTCATAAAGTTTACAACATGCAGGCATGAACTAACTACTCACAAGTGAACGTGACCTGCAGCGTAATNGCACACGACCCAAAATAAACTGTAGTGGCAGTGTGGTTGGAGCTTGGAAGTTTGACGACTAATATATTACTTTCTTGTGTGGGGGTATTTTTTAATTAAATAGACCCAATTTGATTTGAAGCAGCTACCTGTTATCATAAAATTGTCTACAATTGGACTGTTGATTTTAGCATGGGCATAAATCTAAAGAAAATATATCCAAATACTATAAAATCACCCCTCCGACTTTTTCGGGTTTGATGAAATAAAAGCATCGTATTTTTACACTTTTTAATAGTCTATATTTAGAAAAAAAAGTACATGCTTTTACATGCCAACGTCTGCATTGTTTAATGTTGTGGTAACCCAGTCGGTTTAATGTGAAAAATCATTACAAGTCATGTGACACAAGCTGCGGCATGACTGTTCGTGGTTATCAAAAACAAGGAACACATAGTGAAGTTATTTAGGGAAGCTTCGCCCAGCTGTTTCTAATGACATGGATCAAATCTTGTGGAAATAAAGACCAAAATGATCACTGTAAAAGAGGGGTTGCTTTGCAAAATTGACATCTGGGGAATTTTCGGAAACCCAGTACCGATGATCTCACCTTGTTAGATTTGCCAGCCGAATAAACTCATTCCTAGAGGGAGTGGTTTCCATAAAAAGTAATTTGGGGATTTCCATTAAATTTATCACAACGTCTCCCACATATGCGACCATAAAAGCTGCCTCCCTTTTTTTTTACACAGCGCATGTATAATATGCACGTCCAAGTTGAACTATGCTCTACATCTGCATGAATAAATTTGGACTTGAGACAGCAAACACATCACACTTAAAAGATCAGAAAACGCAGCATCAGCCCACTGAAATGCAAACAAACCTAGACGTAAACAAGATTTTCACCATAACCAGGGTTATCAAGTTCAAGTTTGCAATTGAAGTGGTCCCTGCGCCCGAGTAGCGACGACGAGTTCACTGATTCATGCTGCTCGTAATAAAGGTTAAAGGAAATGTGACTGAAGAAGGCTGTAAGTTTATTTTACATAACGGGTTTGCCCTTACCCAACGAATAAATTAATAAACACCGTATGCTCAGTGCTTGTCAGAGAGCTTGCAAAAAAATTCACAACTTTACTCGGGTGGGACTCGAACCCTCGACCTGCTGCTTACTAGTGCCTGCCATAGTTCACCAGAATACGAGTCAATTCCGGGGATGCAATTTCATGTATTGCCACTTCAATGTCATTCAAACATTGCAATTAATACAATGGGAATACCAAAAGCGATTTGGCTTTTACTGTTCTTGACATTTTTCATTGTTTACGTTCTTCGCATTGTCCCATCCTTAAAACAGAATTACAATAATTTCGTATATCTGTCAAAACCAGCAACACAACATCCACGCCTTGTACAACACAATCATATTTCAAAATACATTTGTATACACAGAGTCAGAATATATACAGTCTTTCTGATATTTCAAAATTAAAACAATTGCTCAAAATGTACACATAGGTGGTGACCTGCCTACACATACACACATGTACTGTACATGTATATGCTTTATAAATGAGTATGTGCTAACTGCGCATTGCATTCATGAGAGAACAGTCACAGTATTACACCTGCACTTGCTGGATAGACCCCAACTAATTCAGACTATAAGCCCTCAGAGCTTAGAAAACGTATGTGTGATGTTTTCAAGATAAGCTTGAATAAGTAAACATTATTCAGTCCCCCCCCCCGCAAAAGAAAAAAAAGAATGGCATTTCTTTATGCTCTGCGCCAAACTTTGAATGTTGTGTTTCTGTAGTAGTATCGTCAAAAAATATTGGGTATCCCTGCATGCACATATGCTTTGCCTCCATTGGTGCAAAAGGGCGACATCCAAGTGACAGGGTAAAACTGTGGCAGTCCAGCCAAAATACACATATTAAAAGGTGCAGCGAATTGTAGGCATTTTTTGCCAATCACATGTGTAGGTTTACCATTTGAACCTTGAATCTACACACATCTGGCTTCAGTGTTTGCTTGTCACAAATATGATAACACATAGTGTAGAGTAACTGTTACTTAGGAACATGGTAGTCCTTGAAATATTTGTGTACTATGGCTGATCTTATAGCGGATCAATGATTTCATCACCCATTTTTCTAGTTGGGCAATGGAAGGTACACAACAAATTATTCTTTTACTAGCCTTTGTCCCTTCGTGACAATTTATATCAGTTGAGGAAGTTCTCAAATGTTCTCTTCAATTTAGGGGAAGACTTTAAAAGAGATTGGAAATTTCTATGGAACATATTTACAAGATACATTGAGTTATAGTGCAGAACAAAGTTTCTCATTTAATGTGGGAATGTGAACGCCTCAGGAAATTAAAGAGCCTTGAAACTGTGTTCATTTGCCAGATTCTGTTACAGCTGTGATTACTCCCTAGACATCACTGCTATAGAGGCACTGTGTGGAAGCCATCATGCAGGGCTGTTCTTTTGTTCCGTAAGGAAATTGCCTTTGTGCATACCATGTGGAACAAAAGCACTGGTCTGCAAGACACCAACAATGCAAACCCTCTACACAGAGTGCTTCCATGCAAAATAATCCTAAATGGAATGATTATTATGACCAAACTACACATGTTCATTTGCTAGCACAAAGCACGGTATTTACTGGCACACTCTGCCTTGGGACATTGTAGATGCTTCAGCAAATCATTGACTTGTATTCAACCACAAAACAATTTTTCAAATTAAACTTCTGCTTCTCTTTCATTTTCCAAGACCAATTAACACCTGTCCAATCACCACCGACAAAGCTGCCATACTGTCCGTGGCTCATCTGACGGTACTTTTCATAGGGTTATTTGGAAAGAAAAAAAATAAACTGGTCCATGAAGCACTCCATCTGTAGCATTGAGCACTTGAGTAAAAGGATTCGCATCCAAATTGGCTGAGAAAAAAATGGATCGCGTGTGCCACTGACGATGTCACACCTGCTAGTCCCAAGGAATGGAGTGCTCAGGTGGGGGTTTGTTGGTCTTAGCAAATGCAAGGAGAGTGTTTTGCAAAACACTGAAGCTCAGTGATGCATAAAATCTGGAATGTATTTAAGCTTTTTTTAAAAAAATGAATATGTTACTTTGTTACTTTTCAATGATGTTACACATTTGGCTGACACTTTGCAGTACAGTGATTGTATTAACCATGCTGTTGATGTCCTTTTATTTTCTTAAATGGATGTAAAAAACTTTCATTATCCTTCACTGGTACTAATTTAAACATGTTAAAGGGACATTGGGCCCCAAAGTACAGTGTAAGAGAGAATAGGCTCTGAAATCCACCAAACCTCCTGCTGGACTGAGATGGATCTGGGAATGGTCAAGGTTGCAATGGTCAACCTTCTCTTCTAATCATGCTCTGATTTTCCTTGTCGGGATGTAAACTTCTCGACCATTTGTCTGGTGAGGGTTAAGTAGTAGTCCGGGTCATTCGGCAGATAATCAAAATATCTCAGGTTCCTGCTAGGTTTGGGAACTGCACTTTCAATCTGTGTGCCTTCATGCCACTCGTTGAAAGACGTTATGGATATGACGGGCGGGGTTTGGTTCATGGCTGCTGTAAAGGATTCTTTGTAGTATTCGCCGTTTTGGCGCAGGTGGGTGTTGACCCCATTCCAGGGCCTCACTTTGACATCGTCATACCCCGGTCCAACGCTAGGAATGAAAAACATGGCGTTTCGCCTGGCGAACTGGGCAAGGAACTTCCAGTTCGTCCAGCGGGATCCAAAGGTAAACTTCTTTGCTGCAAAGTAGGTGTAAAAGCCGTCGAAACCACCCACGAGCAAGTCATTGCTGTGCTTCTGCTCAACGTAAAGGCCAATGATGACGGCGTCGTACTTGGTTTCCCTGATGCTCAGCGGGCTGTTCTTCTTGAAGACCCGCCCCCAGGCCCTTGAGGATGTCAAGTAGGAGTCGTACAGGTAGACGAGAGGCAGATCTTTGCCTTTGTGTTTGTACCTGTAGAAGGCTGGATGGTTACCATAGGTATCAATGATATACTTGAGATCCTCTACAAAGGTGAGCTCAGATCGGTTTTTGTAGGGCTCACTATGGAAAGCCAGCTGCAGTGAATGAATACAACACATTAAGGTTCAGTTGTTAAAGTTACAAATCCTAACTGTAGCTAAATCCACTGGTATCCAACAGTGGTCACTTTATTTGAGATATTGATGTAAGCTGTGAACAGTAGGTGTTTTGTAGTAGCTGCTAGATTTTGTTAAAGCAGGGTACCTAGAGAGGCTTAGGGTTCATCAAAGACACATGGAACTTGAACAGGTATTTTTTTTTACATGTACATGTAGAAGATGAAAATAAGGCCCCACTCTTCACAACAACACAAAATGGAGAATAAAACCTGACAACTATCATCACACACTCTTCATACATGTATTGTATGTCTCCCATTCTCAATTTGAGTCTTAAAGCATTGTTCCCGTCCTTCACCCACAGAGAGTTGTGTTCAGCAAAAGCAATGCAAAAGCAAATGCAACAAACCTACGTGTACTTGAGCATGTAGATACAATGAAGACACAAGGGCAGTACTGTAGATCAGAAAACACAGATGACTTTGGACAGATTTCCTGCTCTTCAAGCTCATTGTTCATGCGTGAGCAGTGTTACACAAGTACACACCTGTAAGCTATAAGTGTGCCTTGTACATGTACTGTATGTTCAGCTCTTGATTCATAGAATATTTTAACTGTCGGGTCTTGAAACCAGCCCTATAATTGCTTGAGTCAACAAATCTTGTCACAAGTTCTTTTACAAGTCCTTTCCCAAGTATTCAGCTCAGACACATGAAGCAGGATGGACAGCACTTCTGTCACAATTCATTTGAAGGCTTGTGATTTGGCTTGAGACTGGATGACTTTGAAATGAACGTACCCAGATTTGAAGAGACTAGACTATGTACAACCCTGCTTTGAACAAACTGTGAATTTGAAATTGATTTTGGTGAGAAATGTGTCTATTAAGAAACTATGTAGTGGTAGAAAGATTGTTTGATCATCGATCACTGACCTTGATATCATACTTGTGGCAGGCATCCAGAAGGATTGGGACTAGGTCATCACTTGGGATACCATTGTTATCAGATTTGCTTGGCGGATACCATGATAACACCAAAACACCTGTCAACAGAGAAACAATAACGGAGTTAATTGGGAAATGGTATTTTGTGGAAACCTTACGACATACTCATTAGGGATATGAACGTGTACGTTTAAGACGCAATCAATCAATTGCCATTTGTGCATTACGTTCCTTTGAGAGAACAAAATTATGAAAATCTGAAGGATGCCTTAAAATGATGAAGTTTCAGCTCAACAAGTGTACATTCCAAGCAAAACGATATTCTCAGATTTCAAATTCAGATCAAAAGTTGCCAAGCTTTGAAGTGTATCTGAATTCAGTACCTGAGACATGTTTTCAGCTTCAGTCAAGTGCAGTTACTTTATTTCACACGCTGAACAGACGAATTATAGAAACCGTACAAAGGGTGGGTCACGTGAATGCTAACACGAATTGCATCACTGGAACTGGCTTTCTTTTATTGCTTTCTTCAAAATGACAGCTTGCCAGAAAGAACATCCCAGGAAGTTTAGTCCCATAACCATCTTTTATCTCAGTATGCCTCTCAACAATAATTTCATCAGTTGCCTTTTGGGTATCTGCGAATGATGGACCGTACCTTTCAGAGTAAACCTCATTTACTGCAACTTTGTTTTCATCAAAACATTTCACAATTGTATGTGCAAACCTGTCATCACAAATTGAACTGAATATACTCACCAATACCAGCTGTCCGCAACTGCTGCATGTGAATCTCAATCACACTTGGGTCTCTGGAACTGTAGCACCCAAGCTCTGGATAAAAGCTGGCTCCTATGTCGTCCGGAGGTACGTGCTCTTCAGTGGAGAACTTCTTGGCAATCTTCTTGTCCCAGTGAGGGAGCCTGGGATGATTCCAGTGGTGGTACTTCCCATCAAATTGTGGGTTACCGTACCATGGGTAGTAAAAGGCATGAACATTATAGTTTGGTTGGGGGAAAGTGCTGACATTGTACCGAGATCTCAGCGGTCTATTGCCAGCATTGTTTACAATCAGATTCTTTGGATTTGGGATTGGTGGGTTGGTAGGAACTCTCTTCAAACTTTGGTTGTGTCTGTTCTCAGCTGCTTTCAATTTCAACAATTTCTGGATGCTTTCCCTGTGGAGAGCCTGCTGTCGCTTGAAGTCGTCATCTTTTCTGGATTCTTCTTTGGTGATACTCCGGAGTGCAAAGTAGCACCCGATGATGAAGGCGATGATGATGCACACCGAGATGAATCTCAGGGAACAAACGGTGCGTCTCGTTAGCATCTTGGTGAATGAAGTGAGGTATTGTTTGTGGGACACATTCTGATGCGTGGAGATAC